GTATAGTCTTCATGGCCCAATCCACTCTATACTGATCCCGGAGTCTGATTCTCATGTACACCCTATTGAAGCAGGATGGAAGAAATAAAGACAGAAGACAAGGGAATTCATAATTTTAAAATTGTGCTTTTAATAAAAACTGCAGCTTCAGGGATACAAAATTTATAAAAGCCTTCAAGACAAGAAGCCTCTACACGGGGCTCACAATGTGTCCTTTCCCCCTGTAAATTGTGCCTTCTTCTAACCCATCCTCAGGAAGTACACTAATACGAGGACAGCATACTTCAGCTTCAAGCACATGTAAATGAATGGTTCCCATTTTAACCTTACTCACCTACTGGATAAATCTGATGGATTTCACTAGAATATTCACCCTAAAAACCTCATTTTGGGGATATTCCCCAAGCCCCATAAATATATCCTGCTTGAGATCACAATGTGTCTTTTTCCTTTTAAGGGCCTGCACTCTTATTTCTTTGAGTGTGTACTTTTTTTTTTTTTGGACTAGGGAGTGAACTTAGGACCTTGTGCTTGCAAGGCAAGCTGCGGTACCACTGAGCTAAATTCCCAGCCCTGAGTGTGTACTTTAAAAATTCTGATGAATACATCCTGTCATACCTCTTACTAGTACATTCTGAAAATTCTTTTTCTGTGATGAAAGCCAGCAAGCCTACAACCTGCGCTGTTTCGGGTGAGTCAAGGTTCCCCATCTTCGCTTTGAGGGACCTCCATGGACTCTGCCTGGTAACACTATGAGATTAATAACGTTTTCTTCACAAAGAAAGCAGTAGAAGGAGAGAAGTTCATTAATGTGCTCAAAACCATACAGGTCAATTTATATTTTTTGACTCAAAGCCAAGAAGGTCTATGCATGAAATAAACTATCGTTATTTTTTTTCTCAAAAATTTCAGTGACCCTATATTTTCTCTCTCAAGAAGATAAAAGTTCTGGGGCTGGGAGTGTCCAGACTTTCAACACAGAGGTGTGGGTCTACTTGCCTTAACTCATTTCCCACCACTGCACAATTATGCACTCTGCCCAATCAAATCGTCCGCTGCTAGGCCACCTGCCTTGGCTCACACCCTCACCCCACTCCGTCCTTCTTTCCTTGTTTACAGTGCTGATTCAGCCTCTGCTTTCATCTTCTATTGGGAGCTGTCTTGGTGAGGTCTCTTGTGTAAGTGGTGTTTATTCCCCGTGAGCAAATGAAAGAGTAATGCTTCAAGCTTGTTCTCTTGAGCTTTCTCAGCTGAGGGGCCAAGTTCTAGGCTCTAGTTATCATACAGAATATGGGAACGTCTGTGAGAAGTGATTCCATGCTTTCCATGGAGGAATTCTCCAGAGCACACGATGCTATTCATATAATGTTATAAAATCAGTGACTTGAATCACTAAATCATATTTATGGCTATGTACCTTTTGGCTAGTGATAAAATTGATAAAGTAGCATAAAACTTACAGAAACAGAGTAAATAGGTTAGAAAGTGCAGCTTCTACTTATATGTCTGTCAGTGGGTTTTAAAAATTTATACTTCTTATTGGTGGCTGGAGATGCTGTTGAAGTGATGCCTTGATGCTCAGGTTTATTAGGCACAACTAAAATCAGTAGACTTCAGTTCAATGCTTGTAAAATTATTTCTTGTCAGAGAAACCTGCGGGCCGTAATGACAGGCATAAGTACTTTGTATGCATTCAGCATCAAATCCTAGATGTTTGTACCTAAGGGACTTGGTCTATTGGTTCAACACTTACCTTTTTCAATTAGCAGGCTGAATCCTAAGGAAAGATGTAACCTGCTTATGAGATCCACGTCAGAGAGTTATCTAAGACAACAGGATAAAGTTATGGAGAAAAGAGAGAGCATTCATGGTCAGTTGTTCTGTACAACTGACCATAGGTTTTTGGTCATTATTCTTTTAGTGTTTTGTCTTCAATGATCAATAATTATTGCATGTATTTGTATTTATGAGGTTCAGTGTGACATTCCAAAGCATGTATACAATGTGTGAAGGTCAGATCAGGGTAACTGGCATTTCTATCACCTCAGACATTTACTGTTACTTTGCGATGAGAACATAGTAAATCTTCTCTACTAGCTATTTTGAAATGTGCAATTTGTTGTTGTTAGCAGTAGTTATCCTACTGCACTACTAAATATAATTCTAATCTATTACATGATTTTAATCAATTCTATAAAGACTTATTTTTATAATACTGTAAATTTTCTAGTTTTCAAAAACCCACCACCCTTATATAAAGTGAATACACATTGTGGGTTTTTTGGCCATTAGAAATGAGTTTTGAATATTTGGTCCTGCACAATCTACTTTATTAATTTTAGGAGATTTTTGATATCCAAATTATATATAATTATTAGGGCTAGTACAAGCATTTGACTGTATGTAGTACATGGCTATTGTCCAATTCAGAAATAAACCAAGTTGTCTTTTACCTTTTGCTAATGTTCTACAGGTCTGCAGTCAAGATAACATTCTATGTCTTCAGTTTGCTGTGTCTCTCTGGCTTCTTGACTTGGTGGTCTGCCCTGGCGAATTTCTTCTGGTTTTCAGAACACCCCAGAAAGGACAGTAGGCTCCATTCTAATCCTATGGTGTCATTGAGATTTTCTGATTTGAGCAAGCTTGTCTTGCTCCTTCTGCTTTTCTTTTCCACCTAATGGCCCTTCTACCCAAGGTCTGTGACTTTAGTTGTTAACTGCCCCCCCCATCCGTGTGCAATCTTCACTGCATTTACATTTTAAAGCACCTGTTATTACTTCCCAATTGTTTCTCATTTGTTTTGTGACTGGCTTCACTTTTCTTTCCGACAAAATATTCCTTAAACACAGTCTAGGTGTTCCTAATTTCTTTTATTCATTTATTCTAGAAATATTGGCTTAACATATTTTAAGAGCCAGGGCTTGTTGTAGGCATTTTGTATGTATCAAAGAAGCAAACAAAATCTTTGTTATACTCTAGTGGGGATAGACTTTTATATATGTGCATATAATATCAGTTGGTAATGCTGGAAAAAATAGAGTGAGCTGTAGTAGAGAGTCCTGAAGTGTGACTGGAGGGACTATTTCATGTAGCACATTGGTTAAGGGTCACAGGGATTTTATGTAGTGTGTTTAGGTCCTGTGGAGCTCTGGACTCTAATGTATTCCTGACTATACAGAGCCAAGAAAATGGCAGGTGGTTTATCGGAGGTTGTTGAATAATTAATGATTACACAAATTCCTTGATGAGGAGAGGGGGAGAGAGACAAGAGAATGGGGAGAGTGGAAACTTTTAAATTACAATTTCACAGTGACAAAAAATAAGGCTTTTTAAGTCATCATCGTGACAAGGATTGGCCTTGGAGATCTGGCCCTAAAAACTTCACATCCAGGTAAATCCCGATAACATTGGCCAGAAATCAGTAAGAAATTAAATATAATGAATATTTTGAATATATTTATATACAACTTGCAAGAACTGAGTTATTAGATTATTATCAAAATGTTGGCATTAGTTTTCAATCTACTTTTTCACATTTTATTTCTTTGTGGCCTTAAATTTTATATTTACACAAAATTGAGTAAAATAAATAACTACTGCAATGTTATAGGATTGGAACCAGAGTCATATTTATATTTACTTTAAGGGTATGTTTAATTTTCAAACTATATAGTGTTCAATTTGCAATAGAAATTTGATGGTGTTTTGTACTTTGCAAACCAGATTTCTAATCCAGAATTCTTTACTTCTTATATATTTGAAAGATTCATTAATCCAAGCATTCAGCCATCCTCCAAAATTACCAGTGTAAATTTTTGTCAGAATGGGCTCCTCTTTTCAGCTCGTTAGAATTTTTGGTAATAATGAGAGGCTGCTACTCTGGACTACTGAACTATAAATTCATTCTTCATACACTACAGTATGTCAACAAGAATATAGGGCTTGTCCTGAGATGAGCAGGCAAAATCACAGCAGTGTGGCCGAATTCATCTTCTTGGGCTTTTCCAGCTTTCCTGAGCTCCAAGAGCAGATCTTTGGGGTTTTCTTGGTTATTTACCTGGTGACACTGATGGGAAATGCCATTATCATAGTGGTCATCTTCCTGGACCAGAGCCTCCACTCCCCCATGTACCTCTTCCTGCAGAACTTATCTGTGGTGGAAGTGAGTTTCAGTGCAGCCATCATGCCTGAAATGCTAGTGGTCCTGTCCTCTAAGAAAACAACAATTCCTTTTGTTGGCTGTTTTGCACAGATGTATTTCATTCTTCTTTTTGGTGCGACTGAGTGTTTTCTCCTGGGGGCAATGGCTTATGACCGATTTGCTGCAATCTGCCATCCTCTGACCTACCCAACCATTATGAACAAAAGTGTTCTTGTGAAGTTAATACTTTTCTCATGGGTCTCAGGGATTATGGTGGCCACTGTGCAGACAACATGGGTATTTAGTTTTCCTTTTTGTGGCCCTAATGAAATTAATCATCTGTCTTGTGAAACTCCAGCAGTGCTGGAGCTTGTTTGTGCAGACACCTTCTTGTTTGAAATCTATGCCTTCACAGGCACCATTTTGATTGTCATGGTTCCTTTCTTGCTGATACTCCTGTCTTACATTCGAATTCTCTTTGCCATCCTGAAGATGCCATCAACCACTGGGAGGCAAAAGGCCTTTTCCACCTGTGCCTCTCATCTCACATCAGTCACTCTCTTCTATGGCACAGCCTGTGTGACTTATTTACAACCCAAAGCCAGCTACTCACCGGAGACCAAGAAACTGATGTCACTGGCTTACACACTGCTTACGCCTCTGCTGAATCCACTTATCTATAGTTTGCGCAACAATGAGATGAAACGGTCTTTGATGAAATTATGGCAAAGGAAACAGGTTTTACACATAGACTGACTTGTTGAGAAGCCACAACATTTAATCCTTCCCTGACTGAACTCTATTTAAATTTCATTAGTGATGAAAACTGCATTTCTTGGTGTAGGTACGCCTAATTTGCTCAGTTTTCCATGTTTAGCCATATATCAGGAACATCTTTATATGTTAGTTTCCTTTTTCATAGATGCATATTTTGCAATATTTTAAAATAACAGCTTCTTCAACAGTTTGTTTAGTTTTAGCAGTACTTGATGTTGTTTTATTCTACATAGCAGACACTAGTAAAATAAAGAATTTTATATATATGTGTAAATACTGGCATTTTAATTTGTACATAATAGGTTTAAGAAAGTGGGTTTGATGAGTCAAAGAAAATGTGAATTTGTCAATTTTCTTTTTTTTCCAGTGCGTATTAAGAAAGTCTGAATTTTATTTGGCATTATATCTGAGTTGGTAATAAAAACAAAAGAAGAAATTAAAGATGGACCCTACTTTCAATTTTAAGGAGGCTTAGGAAAATGAAAGCACAAAGTCTGTAACCAATCTTCAAAGTATGAAATGTCACATGTTTATAGCACACAAAATATTTGTACTATGGAGACATCCTACCAAATTAAATAGTCTCAAAACAGTATCTATAGTCTTTCCAGTCTAAAGACTCCAATTCCAACGTAGAACAGTATGGACAAAATTAACAATGTGGAAAGGTTTTGGGGGTAAAATTACTCTGAGAAAGTATGATGCTGACCCCAAGAAACAGGTAAATTGGCCTACTGTTCAATAAACATGCTGCTACAAAAGCCCGGAAGCCATAGTACTTATATCTCAGACTTGGTCATGCAGACATTCTCCTTAAACTACAATTTCATGATTACATAGAAAAATCACAATTCTTCAGACAGTAAGAAGAGGCCAAAATAATAATTAGGATTTTTAGAAATAAAAAAGAGGTACTTTTAGAGTTAATAAAATGAAACAATTACCCTAGTATATGTATGCCCAAAATTAGTTCTGTCCAGGTTCCCGGGATATACAAATACAAAAATTAGAAGGTAACAGAGAAGATATTTTTAAAACTACAGATGTCAAAAAAGGAAAAAGACATGTTGTAGTATTTCCTTAGAAGGGCCTTTTAAAAAAATTTGTGTTATTAGATAACCTGGGGAAGAAATGCAGAGAGAAAACAACCTAGGGATGGCATTTCATCAGTAAGTGTATTTAGTATCTTTAATGATTCAGTTATTTCTAATGCCTTCCACAAAATGGCATTATGGTTCTTCAAGGTTATTGGAAACACATCTTTAAAAAACTTGGCCCTAATATTGAAGCTATAAGGCAAATTTTTAACTATTGGCACTATACTCTAAAGCACAATGAACATCTTATTTAAACAAAAAAGGAAATATTTCATCGGGAAATAGATCCAACAGATTTTTTTTCCCCTCATATCCGTATCTAATAGTGGTAGCTTACTGGCTAATATCTAAACAGGTGCAAATTAAAAAAACATGACAAAAGCCATGTTTTGCTCAAGGATACTATTGTTCAAATAACACAAAAATTGTTTTACAGCAGGTATTCATTTGCCAACCTTCAGAAGGCAAAATGCTAAGTTGTGAATTTAGTGTCCTCCAGTGAGTTTCTTCTTTCTCAGGAGATTATGGAGGCATGTGTTGCTGAGAAGTCATCCTGTGGCCACTCTCTTCTCACAGCTGAATCCACTAGGAAGGATAATTCATGTCCTTAAAATGCAAGGTTGAGCAAAAAGCCTCCCACAAATCCACTAGATACCACAATGTTCCATTTGATAAAATCTGTTGCTTCTTTAATTATATTACAGGTACTGCTTTATTTGCTTGTTTCTTAAAGTGTCTTTTTGCTTTGTTTATCTTTTTCAACTCTCTTCCAGTTGATCTGTACATAGCCACTGTGACTGGCAATCTGTAGGAGAAGAAAGCTACCACCACCTGCTGCCATTGCTTCAAGTTTTCCAACTTTTTGGAACAAAAATCTTGCATACCAGCCAGTCACGCCACACATTACGATCTGGGTAGCTACTGAGTATTTTTCTACCATAGGTCTTGATCGATGTCCAAACACTCGATTCCCAGTGTTGTCTTCTTGCACACTCTGTTAAATCCAACACTTCGTAAAAGTCACCATCACTTTCATATTTTTAGAGAGTGGGCTCTGGGACACCATTATACCGCCAGGGGCCAGTTCTGGAAGGGTGCCCTCTTTCCCTCCTCTCCCCTGCACTTTAAGGGCCGCTCTAGGCCCAGGGAGAAATCTATGGTTTCTTTTTTCCCCTTCCTCTTCCTTTTTTTTTTTTCCTTCTCCTCCTCCTTCTGGCACATTGTTTTGTCCCCTCCCACTTTTCACAGCCAAATTTGTTGATTTTCATAGGTATCGATGAATTATTTTTCTAAGTGATTGTAACTAGTTCAGACTGACCTGAAGATCCACTATGCTCCATTAAGTTGGTTGAACTCCAAGAAATCTACAAATAAAGCATTTTCTTTGGTAGCAAAAATTTGTTTCACAAATGAGCAGAAAAGAGTATCTATTTGTTGAGAGGACCTCATCTATTCAATAGCCCAGAATGATTGCAATCCAACAAGTGATTTCATCTGGTTATCTTACTTAGGGTATATTCAATCAGTATTTGGACAGAGAACAACATGTAATCATTGCTGTGATCATTGCTGTCTTTTCACTTATATATTATTGTTTTTGAAATTTGATCTAATTTCTTTTATAGAACAAATATGTCCACATACTGGCCAAACAATGTATGGCTTTTCTTATGGTATACAATTATAATTATTTAATTGTGCCAATTTTCTGTTATTCTTGAGTCATATCAATATTTATGTGCATCTTTTTCCAGAGTAAATGTATAATTGGCAGCATTGAAATGTCAGCATTTCATTCTGGCTTCCTATATTAATGTTGCTACAAGAGATAAAAATGTTCCTACTCAAATCTACATGAAAGCAGTTAAAACCATTCTTCATTTCTATTCCAGGAGAGGTCATAAAGAGGGTAGGTACCTTTCCTTTCATGAAGCAAACATTCATTCAATGTAAAAACTCTTTCTTCATATCTACCCCTGCCAAAAATGGGGGTGGAGGTACAAATCTGGCTGGAGTTTCAAAAAAAGGAAGAAAAGAAAAAGAAATTTCACCAGTGAAAGTCTGAAACATTGTGGATAATATCTGAATTCAGTATAATATTTTGTTTTCAGCTGAGCATCAAACAAGCATCTATAAACTTTGGCTGGATCCCATCTTTGATACTGTGAAATTTCCTTCAATAGTTCTTAAAAGAACTAGTTAAGATTTATTTAAAAGAAATAGGTTGGGCAGGGGATTTAGCTCAGTGGTCTGGTGCCTGCCGAGCAAGCACAAGGTCCCGAGTTCAATCCCTGGTACCAAAAAAAAAAAAATTATTAAAAGAAATAGGGAAACAGACAAATATGGAACTTAAAAAAACATTAGTTATTCATTCACTTATTGTATCAATGATTTTTTTTTCTTTTTGGTACCAGGGATCGAACTCAGGACCTTGTGCTTGCCAGGCAGGCAGTGGAACCAGTGAGCTAAATCCCCGGCCCCTGTATCAATGAATTTTTAAAATAAAAACTCTTTAAAAAAGTTTCTTAACAGATCTAACTCTCAATGAAACAGTTCTTGCTCTTTAAGAATTTAGAGTTATTGAAGGGTCATTAGATTTGGAAGATCACTAAATTCATACCCTTTCTTATTGCCTTGTCATTTATGATAAATAAAAGCCAGCATCAGCAAGATGTTTGTGGAATTACAATTAAAAATCAAGTCTCATCAGGGC